CAACTTCCTACTCACCCTAAAGATAAGAATGCGTGCTTGAAGGAAAAAGAGCTCTATAGTACTTGTTTCTTTTAAAATCAAAACATTGGGGACAAAAAACCTGAACATAAAAAAAAATATCAATTAACATTTGCAGCACCAATACAACAAGGAGATGATAGAGAAATGGATATTTTAAGAGAAAAATCTGAAAAACCAGGTTGTTCCAGCCAGAACTGGATAACTAAAGCTGAGAGCATTCATGAGTATCTTGCTGTGTCTCATTGTTACTACATGATATGCTATTTCCTGTTGTATGAACAATGAAACAAAGCATGGAAAAGGACGTGTCCACCCATATCAGCCCTAAAGTGTGGTGAGCCTCAAAGGAAATTCCTCATTCAGACATATAGACATGAATGCTTATCCCCTTCTGATAATATGACAGCAAAAAAAAATCCCCTTTAAATTCAAACTTTCCGGTTTTTTGGTTTAGACTCAAAACAAATTTAGTGTTCACCTTTCTCATCTTGCACTAAGGCCTATTTTTAAACCAAACAATCTCCAATCCCAAAAAGACAGATTCTACAAACGGGGCTCTTTTCATAATTATTTTGAGAAATGACATATGGCTTAGTTTATAGTACATGTATATCAACTGAAAATGAAATGAAAAAAAGATTATTTTATCATTCACACAAATGTATAAATTTGTTCTCACCTGACACAAAACACTAAAAGAAAAGGGTCTTGATATCTTGGAAGATCATGGTCTAGAACTTTTCTGTCAAGTCTTAACCAGGTCTGGTGACTTCTGCATAGCAAAGAGGAAAGAAAGATCACTTTTTCTTGATTGTCGACACATAACATTTAAAAAATAGTCAGACCTATGATTTAATATCTATGAAGAAAGAAGGAAAGAGAAGATTAAAACAGATTACATGTAATGACCTTGAATTTTTTTTTATTTCCCTTAGGCCTAGTTCAGATGTTGTACTTCTATATGCTGAAAACTCAATTGCAATTATGTTTGACCATAGCATGGGAAAGCATGACTCTGATACAGATGCCAGGCAAGAATATCACAAAATTCAGGATTTACTGAGGACATGTAATGATTTAATGTCATAACTTCCTGCAGAAATGCAATCCTGCCAAAATAACATATTACAATTGACTGAATGAGTCATGTTGCACAGCACACATTCCCAACCTTAATTTCTTTACGAAACTTAATTTAAAACTTTTTTCAGATGCGGTGCTTCTGCCATGATTTTGTGGAACTAGATTTCTGGATAGAATTTGACATGACAGAAGCATGACTCTGAACTGGGTCTAAGTCAAACTTTAATTTACTTTTAATTCTACTTTTGAAAGTATGTACATAGCAAGACTAACAATTAACTGCAAAGTAAAGAAAATTCTACTTCATGAGTGCAGTCGTGCACATCTGCAAGATTCAATAATTTAGTAAGGGGATGGAATTCAAACTATGACATTGAGTGACACTGTGTTTATTTTCAAAATTGTTGATACATAATATGATTAACACCTTTAAGCCATGTACAAAGGACAACAAAGCATATTCTTTTAAGAGTATTATCAGATATGTGTACAGCTAAAAAAACCAACCACTAAATATGCAATAAAAAAATTCTGAACACTAACTCTTGCACCTTAATTAACAAACTTGCAAGAGATAATTTTTTAAAAAAATAAAACCTTATAATTCCAAAATGGATTTTTATCGTTGACAATAAATATCAGTAAATAGTTTTGACATCATACAAACACTAATGCAACTAGTTTTCCACTGATTAGGACTTTGCTTGAACTTAATGACTCAATTGGTTTAATTTAATTTAATATAGTATAGACCAGAGAAAATAAATTTGTTAACTCCTTATATTTTATTACCTTCTGTAAAGGCTATTAGGCCATAATTTGATTAACAATAAAACTTATCCAACCTAAAAAAACATTTCATCAATTTTTAAATGCATCAATTCCTGTCACAATACCATGAACATAAATTTTTTATCAGCAAATATCACAGTTGATGAGGCAGAATTTTAAGTTTGAGTAATACTTAGCGAACTAAACTAGGAATAGTTAGCAATGTAGTGGAGCTCTTTTCCTACAAAACAAAATGTAATTTCCCTACAAATGTCAAATATATTATAAACAAAATTAGCGTTCTGTCAACAGCAGAAAAAAACATTAGCATAACACAGAAAGAAATTACCACCAGATGAGTCATGACTCGTTTCATCTATTGACCTTTTAATGCCCATTTAATTGTAATCTCCAAGTGCCTAAGGGTATTAGGTTCACACCTAAGCTGATCATACGGAAATTATACTTGGTGACCTAAAATGTGTTCCAAATCAATTCATGCAAGGAAACGCACAATGACATCAATATGCTTCAAACCATTCTGAACATAATGCCCTGGTTTTGCCTAGGAAATGTGATTAAATGTCAGCACTATTTTGGCTATGCCTCAAACCCAGTTCAGATTTTTCAAACCACATTGTCTAATTTCAGTCAAAAGACTCACGACACACCTGAATGATCAAAATTTATATTTAGGTCTTCTGTTTCCAATGCAGATCTCAACCTGCTTGACAAAATTCAGTTGGAAACAAAATAACTAGTTATTTGCAACATTTGTTGCAAGAATCATTGCTAAATAGGTCCATAATTGGGAAAATTAAACAGTTGAGTTGAATCCGTCTTTAGTGAATCACAAAAATTCAGTGCCTGTCTGTTTGTAAACAGTTTTATTAAACTATGCACTTCAAGAAATGTTAATTATCAGTTGCATAGATTGTTTGCATCACAATTATTTAATTTACAGCTTAGATAAATGATATCACCACACTTAACCCATCGGTCAAAAGCACGTAGTCGACAATTTAATTAGTATACTAACTTATCGACCGCCGAAAGCCGTTTTTTTAACGGCAGAAGTTTATAAAAAAAGGAGATGCTGATATAAGAAAGGAAGAAATAAAGAAAAACGTTACATCGACGTGAAATGATCTAATTTTGGATGCCAATGTTTGATCAACGACAACGGCCCAGAAATATTGATGTGGAGTTGCACTTTGTTGGCACATACATAGAAATTTGCGTCAATAAAAGGTTACAATCATCTCTAATCTGATTATTTATTTCCCACCAAAAGCACCCTTCCTAAGCCTGGCGACTTCCGAGGCGACAAACAAAAAGCTATTTTTACGCATTTCCTTTTAGGCGAACCATATGTCGACCAATGCAGGAAATTGCTAGGATTGTTGCATACTTCTTGAAAACCGTAAAATTCGCTACGCTTCGGGAAAATAGACACACACGTTCCTCCTTGTTTGCCAATTTGAGAGCTATATCTTATCTCTAATTATAAATAAAAGAGCCGTTGTTGTTTCAGAATGCAAGATTAAAAAATACACAGAGGGCCTCAAGAGAATTTCATCAATCCATTTTAATTAGTATTAGGTAAAATGGGATGAAATGTGACTGCCATCGCAGATTGACAACGTCCAAACTGACACTAAGGAAACAAAAAAACAATACTATGGAGGGGCACGAAATAAATTTTAAGACAGCGAAAAGATATTCTGCTGACGAATGGTAAACTTCATAGAAAGACCGCTTGAGTACTCTAGCTCTGAAGCATACTACTGAAGAGGGTGATGAAGTTATTACATGCCGTAAATTAGCGCGATTAACACATCACCAGGAAAAATGCTTCCTTGATGCACAGGCAGTAAAACTGAAAAAGAAGAGAACGCTCTAAGCGCTTTTTAGATATTTCATGTGAGAGTTGTAAGTGTTTGAGCACAATCACGTTGCATAATAATGAATACACGATAAAGTTACGAAATATCGATTAAGCTTGTAACTTAAACGTGAACACCGAAGTTTTCATCGGTAAAATAGCTAAAAATTTATTTAACAGTAAAAAAATATTATAAATGAGTACAGTGCTTGGAAATGAAAATGTGTATAAGCTGCAGTGGGATGGTTGCAGCACCGTCACTGAATCTATCAAATCGACATGACAGATGTGTGTTTACATCGTTTTGCACTGGATGTAAATGGTCTTCAGCTGTAAATAACAAACGTTTAAACCCTTACGATCGCTATACGAATAATACAAATCAACTTACGTCTCATCGGTGTATGAAAGACCAAAATATTCCTTCTCGTGGAGGCCGACTTGCGAGGCCACCAAATCAAGTAAATCACAGGACATCAGCCGGGGCTGAATTAAGAGGTGGAGAAAAATTCACGCGATTAATATTAGCTTCACTGCGATCGATCTGCCGCATTTTATAGTTTTCGTAAAATGCCAAGCGTGTAAAACAATAACTTACCTGAACTAGAAGATCGAGACGTCGCTCATCGAGCATAATAATCTGACATTTTCGCGGCTTACGAGCATCAGTCATTCTAACGAAAGATCTCGCGGCGGCGTTTACCCTTTCTCGAAACTATGGCTACGGCTAGATTCTAGAGTGCGACACATAGCTTCCAAACTATGCCTTTTATCGCGGCCATTCCTTAATCCTCCGATTGAAAGTGGAGCTAACTTTCAGGTGTCCCAAAATAAAGCTTTCCTTTCTTTACATGGCAGTCATGTAGATTGCCCTCCTGTGGGATTCCTGTTTTTGCGATGAATCGCTGAAGGAATGAGTGGAATCTATTGCGCATGACTATTTTTGAGTCTTTTGTCAATCATGCATTGAGGCTCCTTTGAAGTACCGCCTCTTCAATTTTAGGCCCGGAAAAGTTGCGGAAAGTATACTTTTTTCGTTTCAAGAGTGGGTGGATTTTTCATCTCACTATTTCTTGCAATAAGATTGGTAAAGTGTTCATGAAAGGGCTTCAAGTTTGTCTCGAAACCGCTGAGGCCAGAAAAAGATCTTGGGATCCAAGTTTTTGCTTTCAATTTTTCATTTGCTCTGAGAAAACGCACCTGGATAAAAAAAAGTGACTTAAAGGGCATACAAGATTATGAGTGGTGGTTGTTTTAACTGCAACAATAAATAAGGAAATATTTTCCTAGTTCCCAGGCTGTTTAGGCTGTTTAGACTGTTGCTATGTTTTGAGCGTGACGTCACATATTCCTGCTGGGGAGACAATATGGCCGATTAGATAGTAACAAATTCCTGAGTTACGTGAAAAATACGAAAATGGTAACTACAACTTTTTTAAATTGATGCAATTTTATCTCATAGAAAAGGCCCTAATTCTTATTTTCTTTCATGAAGACTTCTGGCGGAACAAATGTCCGGGTTGCGGCCCGATGTAGGCCCTTCAATGGTAAGTAAGCTTCGATTTCTGTCAATGTCGGAATTCTATTGTATGATGGAAGTTCTAGCTCAAATAGATGAACCTTGATCCGAGTGAGACTCTACAGTAACTTCATCAGATGATAAGGCTGCATGTCTGCACAATATCTTTACTACTTAACGTTGTTGTTTGGCACAGAATAAGTTTTGATCGAGGAATTACAGCTGTTGTTTTGAAGATTGATGTATGCGTAAGCTTCAGTCGATAATACCCTGCAAGCTTTTATCGAATTGGTAATTCTAAAGCATGATAGGCCTCGATCCAGCTGTGAATCTAAGAAGTATCAATGGTTTCATCCGATCAATTAAGTTCAGGTCAGATCTAGGTTTTGGTTTGGTGTTTTGAAGGATTGGCTAATATACATTTGGATGTTAAATTTGGTAAGTTATCTTTCGTCTTGATCTCTTTCTAAAAAAGAAAGCAATATATCATTCCATACTAAGTGTACTATTTCCTGCTATATTTAGTACAGGAAAAATATAAATATAATATTCATGAATAAATTCAAATTATTTGAGAAACCAAATTGGAAAGTTCTTTTTCACACTTTGATTCAAATTTTAAATAGCTGATCGAAATTGCCAGACATCTCTTTGTCCTTTTTTGGGGCTTTGCAACTGTGCTGAGTTTTCAGGGAAATGTTATATGGAAAATTAGTTACACACTTCCCATCCTAAAAGTACAAGCACTTAGAAGGGCCGATCTAAGCCAAGATGAAATCCCTCCCCATCCTCCTCTCCCCATAAAAAAAAGCTAATAAGGCTAGCCTATCATAGACTCAAGCTCCCATGACCCATTTTGGGGTAGTAACAATGCCATTACTATACACATGCGAGTCTGGTGATAACTATTATTTAGTTTTTGAAACATCTGTTCTTATCTCTAGCAACATTCCTTTTCTTGATAATGCTCACCCACACAATTGAGCTCTATGATCAAGAAGCAATCTGAGGGAAAAACAACACCCTTACAACAAGTATTCTAATAGGCACCCTCACTGTTGAGGCTGGGGTTTTAATGACGTTAATTATCCACAGTCTCCCTTTGTTTGTAAGATCTCTTGTTATTTCTGTTTAACCTGTGAGCAGGCTCTTGCATTCATTTTTTTCCCTTTGATGGCACAGCCACCTTATTATACCTTTAACAGCCACTTATAGAAAAAGTTCTTGAAACTTCTCTGCAGTAGGCTGCCCTCTCTCTAATCCCCCCTTTCCATCCAGAATTTTGAGTATCTGACAAGACCCCTTTCTGTCAATCCTCCTTGACCAAAACCTCTCAATGGATAGTGCTATTAGATTTTATTTGGGCTATTTAGCCTTCCATGTGTAAGATTTGCTTGCAGTTGAAATCCTGTTTTGGTTTTTGTTTTAGACATTGTACATTTTCAATTACAGCAATGTTTACTATACACAGTTGTCATTAAATTTGAGCAACAGTTCAGAAGCAAAAAAATAATGAGAATTGTCTTGGTCCTCAGTAAGTTTAGATGAATTTCCTCCCTGATGTGCTCTCCTCTATAATAAGTCCCTTTTTAAAAACCCTTAACTCTCAAGATCTGTTTGTCAATTCTCCCTTCTTGCTGCCACACATTTCTTTGTAAATTAGTTACAAGAATTTGGTGTTAAATCAAGGTGACAATTGCTGCCTGATAAGTTTGAGAATTCTCATTACCTGTTTCATTTTCTGGATAATTCATGGATATTGTTTGCAGAAACTGTGTTTTAATTACTTCTGGAATTTAAAGGATTAGGAACTGGAAACTGAAAGGTACCTTGGGTACTTGTTAGGGTGTTTGAGTAATATGCCAAGAGAAAATTTTACCAAATCAGAGACAGCCTCAAGATCTACAATGCTTGAATGCTATCATTTTATCCTCCTTCATGTGACTCAATTTATTTTAGTGACCATGGTCTAACTTAATAATCATTATCACTCAACAGAGAGTGAAAAGGGAAGGGCTACCACTAGAGTGGTCAAAATGAGTGCGGACAAAACAGTGATACACAATCCACACCCTGGGACAAACACCAAGGTAAGGACTTAACATCACCTACAGCAGGTCACAATGTGCCAAAGGAATCAGATCTTATGATAGTTGTATTGCTGCCATCATTATTGTCAAGATCATCATAGATAATGATAATATCATTACAATTAATTAGGTTTTGTATGCAACTATGAAAATACAAGACAAGTTATCATAAGAGCAGACCAGCAAAGTCCAGAACATATTAAGTAAAAAAAGTCAGTGCACTGTGGGAAGCTCTTTAAGTGACATTGATGCGCTGCAGGAGCTCCATGGGTGAGGGACTCGAAAAGTAGGGACTGCAGACTGTGCCTCACTCTGAGCTCCTGTGGCACATAGACATCACTTCAAGAGCTCCCCATGGTGCACTAACATCAGTTTTTTATTCACTGATTTTTTTTTACTCATGTGATGGACTTTGTCAAACAGGAGGCAGTGCTCATAGTCTATCATGCGAGTAAGTTTTTAGAGCATGAACACATACATGAACACATGATGGCCTTCCCTCTTCATTGAGGTACTGTATTGTGAATTAATTTTATTACAATTCTTATTTTCACCTCTGAACTATTTTCATTCACAGGAACATAACTTCAGTTTTAATCATAGCTACTTTTGGGACACCAAGACTGTAAGTAATAGAAATTAATACTGGTCTAATATGTTTTTATTTATGTTATATATTTATTAACAGTTATTAGTTTGTAGTCTAAGCACTAAACAGCAGCATATATAATCACAATTAGTATTAACAATTTGATAAATAAGAATATAAATTATAACTTACAACAAATTTTGTATCTTAAACTTTCACCTTCTTGTTGTCTTTAGGAACAAATTTTTTATGATCTTGGAGCACCATTGTTGAGGAAAGCTTTAGAAGGTTATAATGCAACCCTCTGTGCATATGGCCAGGTATGTTAACTTTACACATTTAAGAACAAACCCACTCTCCTTCCTAGAAAAGAAAAGTAATTATGTAGTTTAAGTGGTAAACTTCCCTGTCATTTGACAATTCATATCTTCTGGTGTAACCTCCTGTCTTGAGCAAATCCTTCCTTTGAACAACTATTGTACCAATTAAAAGAAACAAAATTTTGCCATGGCTGATAGGCTACTGTGACCACTAATACCTCTGTTGCCTTAATCAAAATTTAATATCTATTTTGAGCTCTCCTACATTTAAGTGTTTGAACTTTTCAACGGCACTAAAAGGTATAGTGATTATTAATTGTTGATTGAGAATCCAGACTAGCCTTTAAGGCTTATGGATATACCACCATCTTCTGGAATTACTCTAAACTTGTATTCCTTTACAAAGTGTACAGTTCTTAAGATGATGATTTCAAGGCCTGTATTGGGTTGGGCTCTTAACCCCTTAACTCCTATGAGTGACCAAGACAGAATTTCTCCTTTCAATATCAATAAAATATCAACCAGATATGTGATGAGAATAAAGAAAAATATCAATTTAGGGATAATTAGTTGATCCAATACTGAATTCTCAGAACTAACATTATAAGAATTGTATGGTTGACACTAAGGAGAATAACAAATTTGATCTGGGAGTTAAAGGGTTAAGGCGTGTAGCCCCTTTCTCCCCCTCCCCCTCCCCCTCCCCCTTCCATTTCTCCACTTTTTTTACTTTTACATATAACCAATCAAGAGCCTAGCCTATGCCAAATTGATGGACATGTTTTTGGATGAGTTCAAGTCTCCTTGTGGCAAGTTGTGACTTAAGATTTAAACCCCCTCTGGTCTGCTTTCCAAGGGTAATCACTGCTATAAGCAGTGGCACAGGGTTGATGTAAAGCTAGTGACTGGTTCTTTTTACTGGAGATCCATTTATTGTAAATTGAACAGTTGTGATGATGTCTCTAATTCTGTCATTGGTTGGTATTTGTCGACATTATGTCTACAGACTGGAACTGGTAAAACATACACAATGATAGGAACAGAAGAAGAACCTGGCATTATTCCACTGGTAAGATGCCATTGATGAATGACTTTAAAATAATAATCCTTGTCAAAATGATGTGCATGTAGCCTTGCTATATTTTACCTGTAGCATTTTGTACAACTTCCCTGACAGTTCACAGATACCCAATTATATTCCTTGGTAAAGGGAGGCACATTGATAGGTAAGTGTCTTGCGACACAACACAAAGTCACAGCCTCTTGAACTGTGGTGTCTTGACCTGGCATCTGGCATGCTCATCCTTGGGCCTCTCCTTCTCCCCCTGTGTCCACTAAAGGATGGTTAAAAATTTATCAACTGCACGATTTCTTACACTTCAGCTTAACCAAGAGCTGTTCAAGCATATTGATGAAGCTCCACCAAGCAAGCAGTTTTTTGTCACTGTTTCGTTTTATGAGGTGAGATTTTTTTAAGGAATTCCTCCCTACATGGAAGCATTTTGAATTTGGAAATTAAGCAGCAAGTTTATCCAGCACTTGCAATTTAATCTGATCTGCAATATTCATCAGCTCTGCTCAAAAGTGATTAATTCTTAATAGAGATGTTTAAAACCTTTCCTGATTTTTCTACATTGATAAGCAGGAAATTTCTCCTCAGATTTAAAAAAAAACATTACCCAAGAAGGGATTGCTGTTCATAGTAAACCTTGATTCAACTTTGTAGTGTGATTTTCACTTCACCTGAAAAGTCGCAAAATTCTCTTAAAAAAGTTACAATGAAAAGTATCAAAGCTAGATGGGGGAAACAAGAATCAGATTGTAATTGTTATCAGATGTTAACAGGTTCTCAGCCATTAGCTTGTTCAGGTAAAAGCTGGGCTGTATATTAATTTTGTTTTTATTGTCATGGTTATCGTAGATTTACCAGGAAATGATGCATGATCTGCTGAACCCAACAGGAAAGAGCCTTACAATCAGGCAACATCCACAACTGGGAATGTAAGCTTTCTATTTGATGTTCAGTAGAATAATCAACACTAGGGGCACTCTAGTGATCATAAATTATCATGAGACATTTTCAAAACTATTACATAGAACCAGTCAGATTTTCAGTTGTTTTCTGACCATTCACAGCCCAAGCAGTGTAGAAGTGGAACATGTCTTATGGCAAGGGCTGAGATTATTTTCATTATTAGATTAAAGATGTGCAGCCTGCACTTCCTCACCCTCTTGTCAATGTCATGTCCATATGGTGTACCAAAATGGCTTTTAATCATTCAACAAGTGAATGATCTGTTTTGGAAGAAGAGAAGTTCAAATGTAATCAAGGCTTTCCACTTAAATGTTCCAAGGTCTTTTGAAAAGGATTGTCAAATGAAAATGTAGATTGGGTTATCAAAGCTGAATAAGTTTGAACTTATCAATAAACTTTTATTTCAGATTGTTTAAGGTGATTGCCTTACTATAAACCTGCTTGATTTCTTTCTTTTTTTGTAGTTTTGTTGAGGGCCTCGCTGAGCTTGTTGTCCAAACTGGTGAAGACATTGCACGTCTCTTTGAACAAGGAAATAGAGTTAGGAAATTGGCATCTGCTGACAAGAACTCTGGTGGTGCAAGGTAATGAGGCTGCTCTCTTCTCCCAGACCAAAGCCTTTTTAATAACTAGACAGTCCATTTTTGATCTTGTGTTTTGTAAACCTAAAGCTTCTAGAAAACCTCAAGAATACACAGAGTCCTAATGCTTTAATTTGGTATTTACTGATTTTATACACATGTAGGTCAGACTGTGTTTTCACCATCCATGTGGGACAGAAAAGCAATGGTGAATCTGCTGAGAAAGGCATCAGATCAAAGATAACCTTAGTTGATATGGCAGGTATGGATAGTGTTGAGAGCTTTGATTCAGAAAACACAAGGAAAAAAATGGCCGTTGATGTCATACACTTACTATTGCAATCTTTGTTTGTTTTTGTCAGGGTCTGATCAGAAGGAAAACGTAGATCTCAATATTCAAAGTGAAGGTGCTTTCTTGAATAAAGGGTAAGTCCAGAAAGGATAAATATGTACTTATTCTTTATGGACAGTCATGTAACGCGTGAGTAGTGTATAGGGTCACTCTCTGGTCCTAACCAATCATATGTCGTTATTTAATACCTCGTGACGCAAATAAACTAATCAGATGTCGTGATTTTAAAATTTCCTAGAGTTTTAAAATCGCGACAGCTGATTGGTTCATTTGCGTCACGTGGTACTAAATAACGATTTATGGTTGATTAGGACCCAGAGTGACCCTTTACATTATTAACGTGTGGGACACATGAGTGAGAAGCTTAGACTTTTAAAGTAGGGGGTATTCCTCTTAGTACTGTGGTTTATTTTCGGGCCAAGTTTAACTACCTGGCAATTATCACGGGCTGGATACGCCTGAAATATCAGGAGAGAAGTGAAAGATTGCTTTTGACTTAAATTTAAACAAGATAACCACCCTTCCTCATTTGTGACTATTCTTGTCCATTTTGTTAGGATCCAGTCTTTGAATGCTGTGCTCAGTGCATTGGCAGATTCGAAGAAAAAAGATGGTCACATTCCATATAGAGATTCAAAACTGACAAGAATATTGCAGGTGAGTTAGAAATAAACCTGAAAGCTCAAGCATAATGTTTCTAGCGAACACACGTCAAAACGAAAAATTGAATTTTACCCTAGACTTCAAGCACTTCTTTCTTTTTGGCGAAGTTTGTTGCGCGATTTAAAAAAAAATCAGCCCAAAAAAAAAAGATGTCAGTGCACTGGGCGGAACTTTCGTTTGTGTCACTCTCAGAGTTCCACGCGGCGCGCTAGCGTCAATTTTTCCGCTGACTGTTCTTGATTCGCGCGACAACTCCGCCGAATGGGAGGGATTGTTCGTAAACTAATTTTTCACCGGCCTTTTTTTTCAGCCGTTTGTCAACTTAAAGTGAAAGCATTTTCGTTAGCTGTGAACAACACTTTGCAATTTGTTATTTTTCTTTGAGTTAATTTAAGTTTTTTTTAAGGATTGATCTGCTGTTGCCATTAACGTCATGATAAAATACACTTATATTATTTCAAACTAAAATTGCTTTTTTTGTTTTGGTTTTAGGATTCTTTTGGAGGGAGTGCATATACAGCCATGATCACGACAGTGTCACCAGCAGGTTAGAAGACTTATATTAGTTACCAGTTTCTCCTCACATGACCACAATTCGTCAATAGGAGAGGCAAAGGGAACCAAGGGAATCACAACCTCGTTCCCATGGTCCAGGACTAAGGTCGAGGAGATCATTCAACAGCTTTATTTTAAATTTTTTTTACACGATAGTAGATAAAAATAGTAAAGGAGATTGACGCTCTAAGTCTTAAACTTTAGGGGTTAAAAGCAAAGTAAATTTTAGAGGGTGTATGCTTTCCTTCGTTTTGATTTTCCCTGATCCACTTCTGACAGATTCTGATTACGAAGAGACCCTAGCCTCCATGCAGTGTGGAAATAAAGCAAAGTTGGTCGACAACGCTGTCAAGAAAAATGAGGTATTAACCGGCCCATAACTTTGTGATTGGTTCGGGAAATTTGCGCCACCCTTCACCAAATCAGATGAGGTACTGATACCTATCGCAGCTCGGTGTCTCAAATTTTCCCGCCCTTAGTAGATGACTTCAATCGCTCAATTCAAGGGCAATTTCTGATGGAGTTTCGAATGTAATCTGGAGTTTCATCGATTTGCTTTCCTTCGCTCTGTGATTGATCTAGAAAATTCGCGCCACCCTCTCGACAAATCAGATGAGATCTAAGTCAATCACGACTCGTCCAATCGCGATTTCCCGTGGTTTGCCTGTTTCTGTCTATGAGCTCGCATTGGTGCTTTGCCATATTTTCCATTGTTTTGATTGGCCGTTGTAATTAGGCTTTACGACGCTCAGTCGAAGAGCGCTCTATTTTTTCTTGTTCTAATGGGTTGTTCTGTTTAGTTGTACGATACTGTAGCGGAAACGCTCTTTTTTACTCACTGACCTCTTGTTTTGTAAACTTCAGATAGAGAACACCAAAATTATCCAAGACCTTAGAGACGAGATAGCTCGTTTACGAGAGAAACTGGCGACTTCTGGCAGAGCAGCAGAAGCAAGCAAGGACGATGTTTTACAGATGGAGGTGTGTATTTAGTTTTTGAAAGTTGAAAAAATCTGAGCCTGAAATATATAGAATTCATATTTTGTTGTTGACTTCAAGTTGACATACATAGTTCTTGAAAGTAACGCATTTATCAGAAAACTTGTATGGACAAACTTTGTCTGATTCTTCTTCTCTAGGAGCTTATAAAGGATTTACAGACAGCTAAGCGGCAAACTTGGGAGGAACGAGAAAGATTATCCGAGCTCGACGATGAAGAGCGAAGGATAACGTTGGCAAATAAGGTGATTTTGACTTAAAAAGAGTCTGCCAGTTTCCTGCATTACAAAACTTTGGATGTGTGGTGGTGGTGTAACCAATCTTTTTAAAGGCTGCTCAACTGAAAAAAGAGTACTTTGGCGTTGTCTGATAGGTTACCCCGGACCTGGAATTGCATTTGGTAACGTTGATGTCATGCACTGAAAATTCTTTGTTGCCTTTGCAGTTTAGAGCAGCCAATTATTCTGAAAACGTAAACACAGGCAAAAAAGGCGCCGTCAAAACAAAAAAACAAACAATTTGTAAATTTACAAAGTGCAATGTAACATCCACCTGTCACTCACATGCGTGGTGCTGTAAAGGATATTTGAGGTAACCTGTGTTGATTTGACCTCAGGGCATCTTGGACTGGGTTATGGACAGCACCAAACGTGACAACAAAGAGGTACAAGAGAAACTGATGGCCCTACAAAAGGAAAAAGACCAGGTTTGTGAAAACACGATATTGTTTCATACGTTATCAGGGAAAACCTTCATCTTAATGGAGTAACTAAAAGCTGAGTAATTTCTGACAGTTTTCCTGTAAATCTTTTCACCTTTCTTGCGATTCTCTTAAAATTTTGGGTAATCAAGCTATTTAAAACCGATCGCGTTGTTGTAAAAGCACTATTTACACAGATCTCACGGATGTCGTGCAACGAATCCTCTTACGGTTTCCTTCATAGTTGACGGCTGAGTTTAAAGAGAAGCGAAAACTCGTGGACGGACTCAAAGATGAATTGCAAGTAAAGATTGCTGACTACTCCAAGATGGCAGAATCTGGTAAGGAATAAACCAAAAGAAATGATGTTTTCACCTCATTATCTGAAGAAATATTTTGAGTTGTAATTGAAAGAAAATTAGTCTTGTCTGAAGTCAGTAGAAGAAGACCACGCCCGTCTTATCACTGTTTCCTTACTCGCACCTCAATGAATTCGTGCGTTTGACTTGTCAAGTAGGTTGCAGAAGCGATTAAAATGCTCCAAAAACCTTTCTGAACGTGAAGGGTTTTCAAGTAATCGCCGATTTCTTTGTTGGTATGGGTGCGCTGGCTCCTTAAGAGGAAAGAGTTCACAAAAAGCTCCACAGCCGCTCAAGGATGTCACGTAACGGGGAAGAGTCGTTGCGTGACATCTCAAAAAGGCGAAAGTTTTCGGTTTTAAAACTCGGAAAATTGGGATATAAAGGTAACTTGTTGAGTCGTTTTGAAATTGCAAGGTAAAAGCAACGAGGATGAAAATAAGTCCCGAGTGGCTTCCATACACGACTTGAAGGAAAAACTGAAAAGTGAGAATGACGAATTGAAGAAGATTAAATACCAGTTGAAAGAAGTGCAGGAGAAACAGAAAGCTGAAAAAGAGGTAAGCTGGCCTTCCTTTTAACCCTGTGATAAATAAAGATAGGTAAAAAAAGTCTAGTGATTTTACTTGCGTGGAAAGTAAAAAAACTATGATCTCCTCACGAGGATTCAAACCACAAACCTTCTGACTTGGAGGTCGCTTGCTCTGTCATCTGAGATACACAGAAAACATTGGGAAGTCAGGTCACTTTAGGTTTATATGTGACTAGCGTTCTGCGCACAGCTTAGTACGATCGGAATTGTAGAATACATTGTGGGTGAGAGAAAGCGTTAAGTCCGTTATGGACTAGGGAGTTCTACCAACGATTTAACTTTACTTTTTGTGAATGTAACGATGACCAAATGAGTGTGGGTATGTTTGTGGGTTTGCTTTGAAGGAAGAAAATACCTTGTACGTTTGGGTCGTAAAAGAGCAGTGGCATATCGCGCCTGGGAACAAAAAAACGCTAGACATTTCGTGAACGCGCAGTTTTGTTGCGAGTCGAAGTGCCAGATTGTAAGAGATCACCGCACCTCACCAACTATCAATGAGGTGGTCTTTACCTTAATTGACTCTTGTGCAAAACTTGCTACAAAATAACCACAAGATAGATTACATTTTGTGCTTCATCCGGTGAAGATTAAAATGAAACACTGACAATGTTCGGGAAACGAAATTATGCTTCGCTTGAATTTTAACAGGAAGCCAAGTCACAAACCACATTTTTGAAAGGAAATGCAGAACTGCGGTACCGGATTGAGGTAAGTGTGAAATTTTTTTTTTTGTCTAGACCGTTTATCAACAGCAATCCCTCAGACAGGCTTTTTTTACGGATGGCCACTCCCTATATAATACCTCCAATAATAGTCCTTTGTGATGCTTTGAAAGTTTTAATGATTCGTTCGCGAAATTGTGTGAAAGATATGTTTTTTGTGTGCGCTCTAGCTCTCACGTTGTTGTATCGTTTCATTCTCAAAATGTTGATTATCCTGAATCTACTTTTTGAAATACTGTATCTTAATTTGCCTCTTAATTTTTCTGACGTTTTTCTTCAGACTGAACGCCGCGAGAAATACGAGAAGGAGAACTCTCTCACTTTGGCAGACGAGGTAGACAGGGTCAAGATGGAGGTGGAGCAGGAAAAAGCTGAGTTACAGGTAAGAATTCATTAATTCAACTGTTGAAGTCTAGATTCCTGAATCGGACGATACAGCAATAATCTATTTCCATCGAGTCGATGTTGTGAAGAGTGAATGAGCCCGCGGTTTTCCTTGCATGACAGGACTTTAAAACTCGATGAGAGTCTTGCTCAAAGTTTTTTTCAAATCGAAATTGTTAGATTTAAGACACGGACACCCTTTGCTTGTGTTTCGAATACTTAAACAAAGAGAACCAAACGTTCACATACGCTGACAAGTTATTATATCATGTGAAGAAAATTTTGGTTTTATCGACTGAGTTGATAACGTAAATTGGCCACCGTAAAGAGTTTCAAGGCTATAATACCAAAATTATATTTAGTTATACTCCCCCAGCGACGCAGCACCACAGTTTCTTTAGAAACCTATCCCCTTTATTATACCATGTCGCTTGTTTCTCTTAGTTGAAGGCTGCAGAGGGCGTACAGTACAGCACTGATCAGGCCATCAAGCTAGAAATGGAGCTGGTGGAGTTGAAAGCCGAACGGACTGTTATGTCATTGCGGGTAAGCAAATCTTCGTCAATGTAAAAAGTCTTCTTACTTTTAAAAAAACCAAACCGACGATTTGTATTGTCACGGGCAGATCAGCCAATGGGTGCAACAGTCAGGGTAAGAAGTGTGCCCTGACTGTTGTACCTATTGGGTGGTCTGACTGGGGTATTATCGATTGGACAATTCATTTTGGGTGCATTTCGATTAAGTGTTGTTAAACCAAAACTTAAGTAATCACAATAGCCAATGAGAATAGAGGAGGATGTCGCAAGGAGCCAATGAGAACTCACCATAAAACAAGCAACCTTCCCAGGGTGCGGAAAACTGCATGTGATTAAGTCGCGATTGGTTTACTGTTGAATCTGATTGGTTAAAAAAATGGTGCGAATTTCTGGACCAATCACAGTGCGAAGTAAAGCAAATCCAAGGTAATTCCGTTTAGTTTTCACGCTCAATCAAAATTTTCCTTTAACTGCTAAATGCAGTTTTATCAAACGTTTTGTGGGCTTGACAACCAGTTGCTGTTCGGGAAATGGACCCGTGCTTCTCCCTCTTAGAGTAGAGACCTCGACCAAATTTGAGAAAGTGGTGGAAACTGAACATATTAACCATGTAGTGATGGTTTTTAACTTAAACTTTAATACAAATTCCAAAATTAATTACATCGAACAAGTCAATTAAATCAATATGAGGACAGCATACAAGATTCCTTAGGATAAGCCGTCTCGATTACTTACCTAGTTAAAAATTTAGTGCTGAAAACAATTACAAAAATACCTTTAAAATGCTTAAGTTACTTAAGTATTGTGGTGGTGGTTTTTTATGTTTGTTTTATGATTCTTTGTGATGGTTTTTTAATTTTTTTTTCATTGTGGTGATGGTTTTTATACAGATTCAATCAGTAACAGAGGAGAAAAAGCGTTTGAAAGCAGACTTGGACGAAGCTTACAAAAGGCATAAAGAAGAACTGGAAATTCAACAGCTTCAACATTTTCAGGTGAATATTGGTGGAGAGGGAGAAAATTGGCTGAAAAAAGGGAAAGAGGGATAATGAGTGGCTTAGCAAGAAGAGATATTTGTTCTAATTTTTTTGTATGCTTGAAGAGAGGTTTTACCCCCCCTCCCACCAGCGCATGGAAGCTGGTGGGGAGGGGTGTACGAATACGATTTGTAACGCGTTCATTTTCCTCTTGCCCAAGTAACTGCCCGTTGAGGTAGCCTTGAAGCATAACATTTTAATAATGTTTTTTTTGACAATTTTGTACAGACGTTTCGTAACTACCGAGAAGTGTTCGAGGATCAGAAAGCAGCCATTGAACAGCGCTACCGAACGCTGCTAGAAGAAGCGATACAAGATGCTGTGTTCCTATCCACAAGGAATCAGGAACTTATGCACGAGAATCAGGTGCTAAAACAAGGTAACGAAACAACCACGTTGTGACTTGATACTGACATCTTTCCATATTGGTATAGTAGGTCGTGAAGATTGCTGTATATTATTGAGCGTTTTGGTTATGATTTAATTGAAATACATAGTAATGCTAAGTTTTATTCCTGCTCGTTAGAGTAATCCTATAAACCCTAAGAGTGACT